GACGCCTTGCATAGGGAATGGTGAATTCGCAATTAACTTTTCCTCGCTCTGTAACACACCTTCTAATCGTTTCAATATATGCTGGCGCGTGATTTCCGATAATGACGTTGTCTGCAACGTCCCAGTTGGATTCGACAATCCTGAATTATTGCAATACATTTGCAATAATTATATTTTTGATTACGCTCATGTCGGCGAAGCTATAAGGCTTTTCCAGGACGGGCGTAGACCAGAGACGCAGATCCCTAATTTGCTTAAAGACGAAAAGGATGTGAGTCGTGCGGAACCGGTAAATCCGGCTGCTCTGGATGATGATAAACAGGATAGATTCATGCCGCCTTTTGTCAAAGATCATTCCGTGCATAGATATTTGATAGCTTTGCAAAAAGCGAGACCGCACTTCTCGACACCACAAACAAGCAACACCACACCAACACCAGCACCACCAACACCAAACCCGCCTAAGACGAACAAGGGGATCCTTAATTTGCATTAATATCCGTCACGGCACTGTGTAAAGCTGCCTTCAGTTTGTCTTTAGCGTTAATTAGTGACGCTGTTTGAAAGTGTTTACCTATTATTTCTGTACTTATGGACGCGTATTGTAGAATACTTGGTAAATAAAATTTAATATATTACTTTTAGTTGTAATTGTTTGGTTAGTAATTCGAACTGTGTGGCTTGATGGCAACTTAAACTAGCCAAATTTGTAAAATTAACTGTTAATATTACGATCAAGTTTTTAAAGTCATGATGTTCATGGACCCAAGCTCAAGAATTCGCTCCTAAAACAAACGAACCAGACTATTGACGATCCTTGTGGATCATCTCCCGAAGATCCTTCTGCAGGTTGCTTTAAGCATGGGTTTGCCGATCGATAATAGAGCTTTTTAAATATTATCCATTATTTTTTTCCTTCACATTATGCGTCGGAAAAAGTGTCGAAATTATTGACTATATATTTTGCCAGCCAATCATGAATACCATAGTAAGTATGTTATTACCCTATTAATACATTAGAATGGTCTGTTTGTTTCTCCATTCTTGTACAACAAATGTCCTTACAAACAAAGTAAGCGTGTACGACTTGACACCATCAACGAAACTCCTGGGAATGCGCGCGTGCACGTTAGACTCTGGCTGATGTCCAACATCGATCGAAAAATACTGAACCTTAAAGACAGATGTTGGCACGAGTTTTCGAGTTGCGATACTTTAATGTTTTTTGGTGACGGGCTCATTATCTTGTGGCCAATTCGTCAGTCATCGACTACACTGATAATTAACACTTTGTGTCTGTCATCGTCAAACAAATCCAATCAGCAGACTGTTTATTTCGGGTAAATGTGTAAAGTGTACGGAACGGTTGTACTCACAACAGACAGATCACGTAGAGAGGACAGAGACAAAGTCGGATAGTAATAGTAATGTTGTACTCAATCACGACAGGTGGAACAAAAAATTTTTAAACAGTACAGAGAAACAGTAACATAACCAGAGCAAATTTTAAAATGTCATAATTCGCTCAATATAAACACACAAAACTCCCTCCCCTTCAAGCTCCCTTTTGACGGAATTCAAACTTTTTACAAAATGGCTGGTAAAAAAGTGTTGCCGACGCACATGCAAGATATTTGCAGTTGTGAGCCGCCACCGTCCTATGTCAGTCCAGTGGTCATACGTCCATATTTTCTCTATCTTAAATACTTTATTCAGAACATTCTCTTGGCAATCGTCTTTGATTTTCCAACTTTAATCATGCACCCTATTATCACGTTGGTAAACCTGGTGACGTACGTACTCTTGTCAATTGGATTGTTCATACTGGGAGTGACATTGAAGGTATCCTTCTTTTTCGGTGCTGGGGACCAAGCGAACAAGGCTAGTGTCGAATATGGCGATGGATTATCTGTACTTAATTGGTGTAAGTAGGAACATTGTCATGCATAAGTCAAAAGTTGCACAATTCATGAATTTATACCACAATGTCATCATTTTAACCCCAAAAATTGCTTCTTCGCAGGGAATACCGATCTCTTTAATGAACCAGTTTACCCTCTTGTCAACAGAGCCAAATTATTGCTCTCTTCTCACGATAACGTTACTGTCGATCTGTATAATCGCACCGTTATAGAAGATGTTCACAAACCAGCCCCCAGCAGGTTCAACCTAGATCTTGCCGAATTCCTCTGTCTCGTTTCTGGCATAATTTACGAACGGGATCTCAACTATGTATTTCAGGCACGACATAAACTTGCCGAGCACGGACTCAAGAATCCCTATCCTTCCTACGGCTCGATCGTGAAGACCGACTTGAGCGAGATTGAAAATTTGATTCTTCAGAGCGACAAGAGAATCCATGAACAAGCTAATCGATGGGGCTTGAAATTCTTTAGTCTGTCCGAGTTGAACGCATTCGGCCGTGCATATGCGGGATTATTTTATTCGCCTGATCATGACTTTATCATTCTGGCATTCAAGGGCAGTACGCCGTTTGATTTTGACGAATGGGTGACGGATTGTTCGTTCCGGCGCGTTGATGCTCCATATTTGTTTGGGCGGGTCCATGAGGGATGGTATGAATGTCTTTTCTCAAACAAAGTGAAAGGTAGTTCGAAAGCTGGTATTAAAAGTCCTTACCAGAGGATATTGGAGGGTATCGACATCGTCGTGAAAGAGTTGATGCGAAAAAATACAAAAATTAATTTGTGGGTTACGGGACATTCATTGGGTGCTTCATTGGGAACTCTGTTCTTTGCTAGAGCTATGAAAGACCCCGTGGAGTTACCCGAGGGTATTATGTTGAGGTATGAGTTTATCAAATTGGCGTACGGATGTTAATATATCTAATCGTTTACTACTACAAAGAAAAATATGCATTCATTTACTGTACATTAACCACTCCGTGCTCACCTATTATCCTCGAACAGAGATGCTTATTTCTACGGAACACCATACATTGGCGATTCAACCTTTGTATCGTCATTCTCTGGACTTACAAATACTCCCGTCACTCGTCAAAACACTATTTGGCGTGTAGTCGATGACAAAGATGTTCTCGCCCGACTAATAACCGGAAACGACGATCCGACGTTCCTTCAATACGCTAGTCGGGATAGCTTTCTCAATTATGGTCACGTTGGAGAGGAAATCATGTTCTATCAAGATGGAAGGTTGCCGAAATCGCCAGCGATTTTGTTTCCAGAATTGCTAAAAATGTCAAGCAAAGAAATGGCACATGCTATGAAGGATGCAAAGAATAATAAGCGTAGCGTGAATGGTGCGAATGATGCGAACGGTGTTGATGGTGCAAATGGCGTGAACGATGGAAATGTCGACGTGCGTGCTGCGAATGGTAGTACGGGCGATGATATGAAAGCTATGAATGATGTGAGTGATTTGGGTAGCACAAGTATGTCGGGAATGGATAACGACTTTGGTAGTGAAAAGTTGGCTCGTGCGTTAAATCCAGATAACGATTATGGAAATTTTCCAAAGGGAAGTCATTTTTATCGCGTTCAGTTTTTAACACCAACGCGCCTCAAAGATCATTACATTCATAGATACGTTCGGGCTATGGAGAGATCAAGAAAATATTTCAAGATGTATGATAGTAATTATTCTACCGGACGTACAAAATAAAGAGAAATGTCTATATAAGTATCGTGCCGGTACTGTACATTATGAATAGCGTACAATTAAATGTATCTGTAACTATTACTATTGACAAAATAAAGCATTAATTGATACCGTCGTCTCGTTTTTAAACATGTAACGTTTAAAAGACAAGAGTGACTGTAAGAAATCCAATAATGACTTTATTTAACTTATTAGTGATCAACAGTGTGAGATAGACTCTAAAGTCCATGTCGACTGTGACACAGAAAATTAATCGAACGCGTGTCGTTAGGAAGTATCTTTATATTTATGCATAGATTTGCCAACTGGAACAATCAAATGAGGTACATGTCAAGATTCTGGTGCTATTATTCTGCATATCTCAACAGTTTACATCCGTTTTTAGTGGGAAGTCGATATCATAAATGTATCGCAAAGATTTAGAAAATATCAAATAGAAATTCTCGAGAAAGCGAAGACTGATGGACTAAAATGGTGTGATTTTCATGAAGTGTTGCAAGTATTTTTGGTCATGTAATGATTATATTGGATAATGTGTCATGCTAACGATTTCTGTTTATGCTTGATAGGGCATTGTCTTCCGTGCCTTGCCCCTACACTGATCATATTTTCACCATTCGGGAATGGCGGACGATTACACGTGAGAATCCCTATGCTATAACTGAACCGGTACTGCCATTGGATGTGTGTTTCTCTTTACGAAATTCTTTGGCCGAATTCATGGAAGGAAAGGCCCCTTTTTTATCCTTGGGAGATTCTGAAATCGGGCGGGTAGTCTCACGAATATTTAATGACATGTAAGTTTTTATCCCATAACATATCTAAAACTGAGATCAGATCTGCCTTAACTTTTTATTTCATGTATAACAGATGTAGCAGTGTTCCCAAAGTTGCTCCAACAAAAACTTCGGAGGATGAGCACTGCTTCAAGTTGCTACATCCAATCATCCGTCCATTGTTTTTCGCTGATTCACGCGAAGAATACGTTATTCGACGGAATCGTACTATTAGCGGTACGGCGACAAGGCCTGATTTTTCGTGCGTGGTTAACAATATTCCTATCTTGAATTCGGAGATAAAGCCACCCAGATTCACGCCTCTCCAAGGACAAAAGGACAAGTTGAAGGTACAGTTGCGAGGGCGCAAATCCATCAATCAGCTGTTAAGAACGAAAGGGTGGTCCAGAAGAAACGGTAATGTTAACAAATCAAGGTACTGTATGTACGCTTGTAATTAATAAAGCTTGATTTCACTTCAGTTAATTAAGTATATTAAACCATACCTGATACCTTTAGGAGATTTAGTGGAATCGTACGTTATGGACCTCAAATACGATGGACTTTACCGGTCATGGCCTTTTTTAACCACCCGACTGGTTAAAGATAAAACCACCATTCCTTTGCTGGAGTCAGACATTCGGCACTTTATGGCACTGGAGGTACTTTGGACAATCAGCGACAATATTAAAAGTCATACAGCCCAACCGAATTAAGTTAAAGCACTGAACCACTGTTATAACCATATTTGCCTCATCTATTACTAACTTTTTACTTTGTTTACTACTGACGATCTGTTTATCTTTTGTCTCTATAAACGCGAATACAATGAAGTCTATCAACCAAATTGCACAAGCCCAATCCATTCAACATTTGTGGAATCAGGGAATTAAAGATGCTGCTGAAATTCAACGTCGAACAGGTATCCCGAGATCAACTATTTATTATAATCTCGAAAAATTGAAGAAAACCGGGAGTACGGCCCACAAAAAGCGCTCTGGTCGTCCCAAAAAGATTACACCAGAATGTTCGAAAGCTCTCAGTCAATATGTTAGACGAAATTCAGCAATATTGTCAAGAACATTGGCCAATAAACTGTTGCTAAAGGGTATAAATGTTTCTTATGTAACAGTTTTGCGACATTTAGCTCATCTTGGATATGACAAAAAACGTCCACTAGCGATGCCTATGCTCACAACAAAGCATAAGGAAAAACGAATAGGATGGGCCCAGAAACATATTAATGATAATTGGAATCGCACACTTTTTACCGATGAAACATCACTTTGGTTGTTTCGGAACACGATAGAGTACTGGTATAAAGATATTCGGCCAGTTCGTCCCATTCCTAAAGACCGAACCAGAATTAATGCCTGGGGCGGTTTTTGTATTAAAGGAAAGACCAGTCTCTTTTGTTTTCGTGAAATTATGACTGGTCAAATTTATGTCGATATCATAAGAAAACATCTTCCTGAAGCTAACAAGATGCTCGGTAAGAAGTGGCGATTCCAACAGGATAACGATCCGAAACATACGAGCAGAGTAGCCAAAGAATTTCTTCAAAATAATGTTTCGACCGTTATGGACTGGCCCGCAAACAGTCCTGATCTAAACCTATCGAAAACTTATGGGCCATTGTTAAAGGAAGAGTGGAAAAGCGGCAACCAAAAAATATTGCAGAATTAGAACAGTTTATGGTGGAGGAATGGGATAGTATCCCGCAATATATTATAATTAATTTAATTAGGTCAATGAAGGAATGTTGTCGGCTTATTATTGATATAATAATGGGGAGCGTATTCCTTATTAAATTTTTTAAAATAAAATCTTCTGGTTTTTACCTTTCAAATGAATGTTTAATCTTGTGATTTAACGCGGCCATTCGGATGCTATAGCTAGAAATAGACGTCCAAAGACTTTTGTAACACACTGTATATATACCATATATTTCATTTTTAAGTTCGTAATGAAATAATTAATGATATCTTTCATTTATATTTTGCATTGTTAGGAACGCATCAGTAAAATTGCTGAGAACTACAATTGTCGAACTTATCAAAGTGGCACAAGTACTCCGCCATTGCAAATACAATATATGCGAGACTTACCTGATAGTCCGCAAAGAAAAAAGTTACTTAGATAGTGTAATTAACTTAAATGTGCAAGTTTATTGTTTCAAAATGATGGCTTAATCTGTTTATCTTAAGCATTTTAATATGTAATCTTTATGCATAATCACTATGTAATAATCAAAAAAAAAATAGTAAATATAATTACTTTCGAGCTTATTCAATGAGACCTAATTCCCGAAGATGCTTAGGAATAATTACATACGGGTCTTCGTAATACCAAACATACCTTAGTGCAATCCAGTTCTCTTCGCATAATTCTTTCTTGAGTTGATCCCGTGCGTGCTGTTTGATAAGAATTTGATATATTTTTCGTGTTGTACGCCTTGTACTTCGATTGCAAAGCCATATTCCTTATATATACTATATATACTATGCATACTATGTGTACTATGTGTACTATGTGTACTATGTGTACTAATTACTAATACTATATGTATTATGTATAGAAACTATTCAGAGTGGAAGAATATGATTTTTTCCCCTATAAGCCAGCATGTATTAGTATAAATAGTATCGATAAAACTACAAATATGCACGACAATGCTATTCGG